GACTATCCGTAACGATCATAGTCGACGACTTATGTCGAATTTCGATGGAATTTTAACAAATACCAGTCGACATCACGTTCAAATATCGTTAGCGATGTACGTGGACGCTATAGTAGACTTTATTCGTTTGGTAGATGTACAAAGCACACAAAGCGCTATAAACCAACCAGATACCCGTGTGTTACGAACGTTCTAACGCTACGTTAAAGTACAAATAATATTAGCAAATGTACGCAGAGTTTCGAATATATAGATTGTTTCTTTGTCAATTATTACTTTTGTCAAATATTATTACACGTTAAATGACTGTATGTATCTATATTTAACGAGAAACTCGATTTTCAAGCGAATTTGTTCAGTAAACGTTTGGATAATATAGTGGAGAAATATTCGTATATAAATACTCGAATTGCCACGTTACATCTCGCTACATTTTTCAGTTTTCAGTTTGTCATGTAACGAAGAACATTCAATAAAATGCAAAGTTACGCAACCGGTGTTGCGATAACCACGTCGGTCCCCTCGAAAAACATTAAAGCCGCCTATGATTTTTCAAGCGTGTACGAGCGCATTACGAGAGGGTGTAACCATCCGCGCTGTGTACTCGCGTGCACTTCCTGATTTATGGACAAAGCTCGTCGACCGCGGAAGGTGTATCGCGTTCAAATATCGGAAACCGGTCCATTGTACACATTCGGGTACGGCGTTGATGATTCAAAAAGCGCGCTCGCGTTACCATTATTTACAATATAACCATTTACGTAGAAACCTTCCTAGCCGGCCAATTAAATCAATTATTTAAAAAGAAGAGAAACAAAAATGTCTACGTTATCAACGAAATTTTACGCAGGCCAATGATGAACAAATGGTCGAATAAAATAGCAGGAAATATGGAAAATTTGTGGAAAAATTAAAGATAGCGATTGAACGTTATGTTTGTCCATGTATCGTGAGAACGTCTTGTTGATACAATTAACGAAAAATAACGAGAAATAATTCCAATGTAAAATAGAGGTAAAAATGAAATTTTACATCTTTCCACGTATTCCTATTTCACTTCCTATTGTTATCCTGCAGTTGTTGCTATTAGTAAACGATAACGATGAATAATCTAATAATATGATAACGAAATGAAAAAGAATATACGGAAAATTATAAACAAGATTAGTAAACGATAACGATGAATAATCTAATAATATGATAACGAAATGGAAAATAATATACGGAAAATTATAAACAAGATAAGAGGTAAAAATAAAATGTAATTTTCTCTTGTTCTACCCCTTATTTATACCTTGTGGATACGAATAGCAAGCAATAACGAACACTCGAACGACAATTGTTATCACCTAATTCGTTTCCAACGGGGACGAGGTAAGTTTTGGTGTCGTCGCTGGGAACGAGAGACGTGTCATTTAGCCGGTGTTCGAGATAATGAAATTTAAACGAAGCACTCGGGGGCGAGCGTAACCGCTCCGAAATTTCCATAAAGTTTCGCCGGTGAAGCGTGTGCACGGGCGCACGCGTGCGGCCCTGCAGCAAAATTCGTCGTTGGAAATAATTGTAGATTTCCTCGGTGTAACACACGTACACGCATTTTTATAGTTTTACGTGTTTCTTTTTCCTTCTTCCACTTGTTCGTTTTCATAAGCAGTTTTATGTTTATTTTGATCAATACTCTCCTTCTCCCCCTCGTGTCATTATTAAACATCAACGACAGAGAATACAAAACAAGGCGACATTGTTCCACCGTATTATAAAAAATAGTTAATCGAAAGATATTAAAATAAAAAAAAAAGATTGAGATTGTTAAAAGATATTGAACTTAGCGAAGAATACACTACGTTGTATTTTTATAACATTTTTTGATATATATATACTGGTGAAATACCAACAATCTTATCATTCAACTCGATATAAAATAAAAAGAATAAATAGATGAAAATTTTGAAAGATATAGTGATAGTACATTAACCTTCGCCACGAAACGAAAAAAAAAAAATATATATATATTTTTACTCTACGTGATAACAAAATTCATTTAATCTCGCGGGTTTCCTCGGATCCGTATGAACGAAAATAGATTTTAACATATTAGTAGAACGTAAATATACTATATATAGAAATTACCGGTGTACAATCTGATTGAATAATACACGTAAACGTAGACCTACTCTTCCAAGGGCTAAAGTTCACGGAATGCAGGTTTCGTAACGCGTTAAGGTGAACAAAGCGTGAATTCGGTAAATATCACAATGCATTCGAACCGGATGCTAATGACGCCCTCTCCTCGGTGAAATCGCATCACAAGGATAATTCGTCTACAGCTGAACGCCACTCGTAGCAGCGAAATATCTAGCGGCTATTTTCATCGGCGTTCTAGCAGTAAATATTATGTACCAGTCTGCGACGATCGACTTGGGAGTTAACGGAACAGTGTAAGGATGTTATTGAATGAACAGAGAATGGAATGTCTAACAAAAAATCGATACATGCGTTTCCTAGGTTGATTCTACGTCTTATACGATTGTACTCATATCAGCTAAATTTAACAAGTTACAAATTATGAACGCTAACAAATTCCCTTACGTTATCAATTGGTAAATTATTATGTAAGAATAACTCTTGATTATCTTACTTGACATAAGGTTGTAAAATTATAAAGAAGAATTTTGTAACTTGTCAAATCACCGATATTATTAGTTAATAAATTATCGTGCAAAAGTACTCCAGTAGTAAAATAAGATCGTTACAACTTCTCCTTCGACACTTATGTTTATAAGAAATACGATATGTAATATGAAATATATGATTTCTGCTACGATTATGCATTATTCGGTATAGAAAGAATGATTAATGCGGAAGCTGCGTGTTTATAATCTGTGTACACGTTGGTCTATTCGGTAGGTGCGTGACCCTGAACTGACGTTAAACATGAAAACAGAGTAAATTTCGATAATGGATAAATTTGACAAAGAGCACGACGCGTCACTGAATAATGCATCGATGACCTAAGATGCATTGCATTAAGCACACACACACGTATATACGTATTAGAATTATCTATCGTGAGACTATGAGACTCACCACTCCCGTGAATCCCACGGTTAAAAAAATGCTGGCTGGCATCTGTGACATAACCTATCTCCGGTCCGCTTGGCGACATGGTAATCGCGAAAAGCATGCCGATGTCTTTTGTTTCGTACAACAGTCATACTGTATTCATAGGAAGCATTCGTAAATATGGTTCTATTAGATTCAAACGGAATCGGAATCACGAAACAGAGAAGCGAGATACACGCGACTCATACGCGTGGTATGGTCATTGACGCATCAGGTGTCAGTCACCTCGAAAGGGTACGCAAGTCTCACGTGTGCGCCTTGTACGATGGTCCTCAAGAGCAATTTCAAAGCACGTGTCACGATTGTAGCCATCTTTCCGACTATCCACGATGTATTTTTGCGCACAGTTATGTTCGTATATGTCAAACAAAGTGGAATTAAAACTCACCGATCTTTCCTGGTAAACGCGTTGTAGCTGATGCTCCTTACTCGTCCTTCGTCTCGTTGTCCTCTCCTGCTCGTCCTCTTCTGCCTTTCACCGTTTCGCAATGTGTCAGCAAAAGAATCGGTCGGAATACCAGATTTGGTACAGTCACTTGTCACGAGTACGGTACACGATAATCACTGCGACGAAACCGAGAGTCGAACATAAACGTCGTATAACCGTACCGGTACGAACACACTACGAAACGCGGTACGAACACGACTGCTCCACACCGTACCATAGATCAGCTGCTACTATAGCAGCGCTATCGCGCTGCGCGGCACGCGCCTGAACTAAATGGTGGGGGAAGGGCGGGAACGCGCTAGTCAAGAGTAATATTGGTGGTATTTCGAGTCCCAGACTGTATCATTGATCCGAAATTGCAAGTGAAAATGAGCGCTGAGATAAAAATGTTTCCGATTAATAAAAGAGGACTACACAAATTTTTATGTGTTTATATGTGTATATGAAACTATTAAATCACTATATCGTATATGGATTTAGATAAAATTTAAAACACTCGTGAGAATGGAATCCATATATTTTAAATAAGAGATATCTGTTTTCGAGATGCCTAATCATGATATAGGAGTACAACAATATATATGAATACGTATTTATCACTGTATGTAAAATAATTCTTTAATTAATTATTACCTGCAATGGATAAAGTACAACATTTACTTTACAATTATGACTAGTTGATAATAGATAAACTGCTTTGTATATAGACGAGTATACAGTCACCGATCAGGTATAGAATAGATCTATTAGCACCAACAAAGTGCAAAATAGACCTATTACCCAACGTACCTTTTTGTTCACGGTTTCGGGGTCACTAGAGTCCATTTACCATTTTAGTGTCATTTCCAACGTTATCGAAACAGCGCAGAATGAGATTACGGTACCTCCAGCGATTGGAATTAAAACTAACTTCTAATATGACATTACCATAAAGTTACAAATAAAATATAGGCACCAATGAGGTGCAAAGCCTTGTCTGTGCTATAGGCACGTATAAGACAGAACTACGGTCGTATACAAGTCTAGTTACTCTCGTGGAAAAGATGAGGCTCTTAGGCAGCGGCAAATGTTGTTCAATTTATCCGCAGTAAGGCGCTCTAATCAAACGAGGGTTGATTGACTAACGCCATCGTGTAGGAGTAGCCTGGATCCGGTTGTCTCTCGACTTGTCGACTGAGATTCGACTCACGATGGAAGGAACAAACGGCACCACGATAACATTGACTAAGAATAGGATTGTAAGTCTCGACACTCATATAGCCGAAGCCTAGGGGTAACCTTCCAAAAATTGAGTCGTAATTAGTTGTGAAAAATCAACATGGAAGATAAGAAGGTTCTCATCACACGATCGTATACACAGATCTGAAACTCTAATGGAGGAGATAAGGCTCTTAGTGATCGAAGGATGTTCGTTAATTTCTCCGCAGTAGAGTACTTCAATCGAGAGATTAAGATTCGTCGTGTAACGCCATTGTGTAAAAATAGCACAGATCTTGTTGTCTCTGCCTTTATTGACCTTTGATTTTAATTTTTCATGACTAGACACGACTCAATTTTTGAACGGTTTAGCCTAGTTATGAAATCTGCTTATATGATCGTGGTCCAGACCACAGTTTTTTTTATATGATTCTGACCCATATTGTACCTCATCGGCGGTATAGTATATGCTGAGATATGTAATAAACGGTTAATGGTGATCTAGCTTTTATCTTATTGATATGGAGGAAGTATTTGTTGAGAAATCTGTAAAAATATAGATATACATATAAACAAATAAATTAAAGTTGAATATATGTATATTAATGATATAAAGATATTTTCACAGTTAAATGTAGTAAATTATAACAGGTAATGTGCTTTCTCGAAATCATACTATTCTGTTACAAATATAATTTGCATTATCCTTTTTTTATTTAAAATTGTGTATTTCATTTGTAGCCCTTATCGCATGCGTAAAAAATGAGATTAGAGAGCAGGATTTTGACTGTGTTTCTCTAGATAACTTCATTCGTCACTAAATTGTGCGATATAACCTAACATCTTGTATACAATGTCATCATTTGAAACAAAACTATATTATTGATATTAGTTAAACATTATGGCTTGTGATTCAAAAATATTGTGTTTTCGCCATTGTTGTTCAAAAAGCATATTCTGTAAAGCTGTTCCAGAAATATGCCCAATTTGTCAATTATGTATTACAGAATATAAAATAATGCCCTTTCTTGTTCCATATCCATATAAAAATGCAGCGTGTGAACCAAATTCTATAGTTGTTAGGCCAGCTAATGGCAATTTTTTAACTGATTATCATATCGTAAATGATTTGCATATAGGAATAACTAACATGAATGGCCTTGTTTTTGAATACGACAAAGAGGGTTTAATACTAAATGATTGTTCAAGATGGACAAATTGCATTGCGATAAATGTAATCCCTTCATCTTGGGACAGTCATTGGAATGAAACATTAAAAATAATGTTAAAAGACTCGAAATGGAAATCTGAAAATTATGATGAAATCTCGATGAATTGTTTCAACTTTGTTATAGAGTTTATAAATAATTTGAAATATATGAATATGAACTTTACGAATAAAGAAACTATATGCGAAAAGTTAATATTACCAAAACTTAGAGATGCTCTTACATATAATTTTTTATTTATGAAATTAGAAAATAATGAATTTTTTATATCTTAAGAAAAGTTCATTTTCTATATTTGCTTTCTACATAGATTTATATGTATTATTGGTATTATATAGATCTCTACGTATTTGCCTTTTAAAATCATTATATGAGTATATTTTTTACACATATTATATATTTATAATTATTACAATAAATCATTTAGTACATGTTTAATAAAATGCTCATTTTTTTCATCCTAGAATACTTTGATAATACAATGAAGTATAACAAGATCAGATTGCCTCCATTAAGCAGAAATTATAGACGAGGTTTTCTTCAATTATTAAGAAATCTTTCATCAAACAATCATCAATATAAATTTGATGTCATTGTTATTGGTGGTGGTCATGCTGGAACAGAAGCTTGTGCAGCAGCTGCTAGGATGGGTGCAAAAACATTATTAGTTACTCATAAGAAAAGCACAATAGGTATCACTTTTGTTTCTCTTTTAATATTAAAGATTATTGAATAAAAATTATGACAATACTTTCATAGGAGAAATGTCATGTAATCCATCCTTTGGTGGAGTTGGAAAAGGAAACCTTATGAGAGAAATAGATGCTTTAGATGGTGTTTGTTGCCGTATCTGTGATATCTCTGGAATTAATTATAGAATCCTAAATAGTTCTAAAGGGCCAGCTGTATGGGGATATAGAGCTCAAATTGATCGTGTCTTATATAAGAAGCACATACAGAAGGAGCTTTTCAATACGCCTGGTTTACAAATATATGAATCCTCTGTGGAAGATTTAATTGTACATGGAGATTCTCCAAGTTGTCATGGAATAATTCTTAGTATGCTTATTCTTTTAAATTGGATATATGTATGTTATTAATTTTTAAACAAATGAAATATTTATGAAAATCGTGTTTCAGGGGATGGGACAAAAATATACAGTGATACAGTCGTCATAACAACAGGTACTTTTCTAAAAGGTCAAATTAATATTGGGTTAGAAAAAAGACCTGCTGGTAGATTCGGTGATGAACCCAGCATTGGATTAGCTAACACGTTAGAAACAATTGGATTTAGAATGGGAAGATTAAAAACTGGTAATTGTCATAATCATGTTTTATAGACTTTCTTTACAGGCTCTAAATGTTCTCATGTTTTAAAATATTTTTCTAGGTACACCACCGCGGTTAGAAAAATCTACTATCGATTTTTCCAAATGTGATGTACGTAAACCAGACGAAGTATCAATGCCATTTTCATTCATGAATAATACTGTCTGGTTACCCGTAGAACAACAAATAAATTGTTATCTAACACATACAAACGAAGCTGTCTCAAAAATTGTAAAAGACAACATGCATTGTAATTTACACGTTACAGAGGAGATAACAGGACCACGGTATTGTCCAAGTATAGAAAGCAAAGTTCTTAAGTTTAATACACATGAACACCAAATTTGGCTGGAACCTGAAGGTTTAGATTCACCCATAATGTATCCCTCAGGATTATCATGTACACTTCCAGCAGAGAAACAAGAAGAACTTATTAAATGTATTCCAGGATTAGAAAATGTGAAAATGGGTAAATCTGTTCCCTTTATGATATACATATGTATATTCTGACATTTCATGTTTTTAAATATATTAATATAACGTTGTAATCTTATGCGCAGTGAGACCAGGTTATGGAGTTGAGTATGATTATATTGACCCAAAAGAATTACATGTTACGTTAGAGACCAAAAGGATTCCAGGGCTATTTCTTGCTGGGCAAATAAATGGTACAACTGGTTACGAAGAAGCAGCTGCACAAGGAATTATAGCAGGTGTTAATGCTGCGGCCAAGGTCTCTATCACCCATTTTTTATTATGAACTTTTTAAGTTAATAACGAAGAAATTCATTGTTTTATTTCGTTGAATAATCTATTTTCTAGGTTCTTAATAAAAAGCCATTGATAATAAGTCGAACAGAAGGTTATATCGGTGTACTCATTGATGATCTTACTACACTTGGTACAAATGAACCATATAGAATGTTCACCAGTCGTGCAGAATTTCGATTAAGTCTACGACCAGATAATGCAGATCAAAGGCTTACCAAAAAGGGGTATGAAAGTGGTTGCGTATCAGAGGAAAGAATGATAAAAACAGAAGAAATTTTATCCAGACTAACAGAAAATATAGAGTTGTTTAAAAATGAAATTCATCGCAATGCAAAGTGGTGTCAATTACTGGGTGTTCCAGTTTCTAAGAATTCTAATTTAAGATCTGGTTTTGATATGATGCAGTGTTATGACGTTGATAAATTTATCAAAGCACTTCCTGATCGCTTTGGACATCTCGCAGATGATCCGATTATTTCAAGAAGATTAAAGGTAGCAATATTTTGTTGCAAGTGATATTTTTAAATCAATACGGCTTATCATCTTTTATTGTGACCATCTATTTAATCTTATAGATAGAAGCATTGTATGCAGATTCCTTAAAGAAAATGGAGAAAGAAATCAGTGAAATTCGCAAAAACGAACAGATGCTTATCCCGCCATCCATAGACTATAGCTCGTAAGTTAATTATCTGAAATATAAATTGTGATATCTATTAAGTGCAGTTATCTTTACTAATGACTGAATGTGTTCCGATATAGACCTCAGTTAAGTTTATCTCTGGAGGAAAGAGAAAAACTCTCTGAGTTTCAACCATATACAGTAAGTGTAGAAATAAATCTTCATAATGTTCGCAGTCATTATCCTTATTATTTTTTCTGCATAGATCGCTGCAGCCAGTCGTATTCAAGGAGTCACTCCACCTGCTATTTTTCGTTTAATAAATTATATACGGAGAAATATACAGAAAAATGTACAGAATAGAGCTAGGAAGTCAACTTTAATAACAAATCAACTTTGATAGCAAATCAACTAAAATAAATAGCCGATCAAATCATATACTTTACGTATGTTTATTTAATGTGTGCATATCAACAACAAAAAACCCATTGAAAATCGTTTGCATGCACGTCTGGAACTAAACTTGGACTAAAGTTGGAGTCTATTCAGACTCGAAGACGGACCCCAATTCTTAAGATGTCACTCAACTATCAGCCTTAAACGTTCGTCTTAAGAGTAGAACAAATGGAAGGTTGTTGCCCTCCTGTTTAGCCACCGGATGTATCGTGCCAGCAACCATCAATCTTCCTTAAATAGAAACTTGCTTACACTTGTTTGACAAGAATTATCGAAACTCCGTGTTTACTCGAATTTCGAAACACTACGAAATTATTAATACCTCGCGTGTCAGTATCGGTTGGTTCGCATACGAATCCCGTAGTGAGAATTTACGCGGAAGAGACGAAACTCAATTGCGGCTACTTGTGAAATACGCTCGTTTAATAAGACTAGAGTAATTGTCTCTAACTTACAATGCGGTCGAAGTTTCCATTTCGGCTGGCGCAACTAATGTCAGAGTCCATAGCAGGGAAGTTTGCCTGATTGAATTAAGAGGGGTTCGTCCAGCTTCAAACTTCTCACTACCGAATTGATGAAGCATACCCAGGGTAAACGTCGTTACGAGATTACTCGCGTAATCAATTTATTCGCTGAAGGCACGCGCGACGTACCCTCGCATTACTTCAAATTTTATAACGAACTAAATGAAATTTATTGCTTTTTAAGATCGAGAAGATGGAGGGCTACTTTGACATCTATATGTCGTAGAAATTTCACGATGTGCCTATATTTGTCTACAAGGAGCTAAAACAAATTAAGAAAGTAGAATAATTTGAGGATATATAAGGATTAGAAAATAAATCTACTGGACAATAAATCGATGTTTCAAACAGCAACAAAACATGTACTAACAGTTATTCTTTATTACCATTAGTGCAATAGTAAATACTGTTACGATACATTGTACAGGAATGGTGTACGATCGGCCGTAGTACAGGGTCGTTGTAATTATAAATTTCTCTACCATGGTAATCCGGCTGTTCTCTCTCTACATGGTTAATCGAGCCAATACGAGCTCGCCACTAACTCGTCCTCTAAATCGCACGACGAGTTAATACTATTGTCTCCCTATAATAGCCTCCGTGTCTCCGAGGAATCAACCTTCTTCTTCTCGATATAACAGTTTCCGCACAACAATCCTTCCTTTCATTCTTCATCTATCACGGTAAAAAATATACAAAAAGTGAAGAACTATTTTGGCCAAATTTACGAAATTTCCTACCTCGCGAAGAATCCAATGTCGAATCGATTATCAATAACTTTAAATTAGTGTTAATTGTTCAATTTTGGACAATGCATTTTCTATAAAATTCCAAATCAATGACTTTCTAATCTATCCCAATGACCACGGTTGTCATACCAAGCGCGTTTCACCGTGGTTGGGAACGTTCTCCATGTTAAATTCAACATTGGATTTTCCGCGCTGCGAATGCACGCACGTAAATTACGCGAAGGCACGCGGTCCTCAATAACCGTTTAAACGCGTTGGCCGATCGCGGGTATTTTCCCCCCGGAACGATCGCCAGAGCCATTCTTTTTCTTTTTCTCTTGCCACGATCTCCATCGTGCTCTCGCTGTGATTCACGTGTTCCCTTCTTAATTCTAATTCTCTATACTGGCAAGTTTTCGTGTATGTTTATACGTTTACGTGTATGTACGTGTATACTAAATGTTACGTTTCTCTTATTGTTCATACGTCAACAACGACTACTCCGAATAAATTAGTTTTAAGGCTACGCTGCTCCTCTTTGCTCATCGATTACCCTAACTACCTAACGAATTATCGTCGACTACACTGAATGTTGAATTAATGTACATCGAGATCCATCCTTACGACCAGCAACAATTTCTCAAAGTGGCTTGTATTATTCTTAAATCTTGTAGCTGGTCGCGTACGACGGACACGAATAACTTATATGCGCTTACCGTATAATTACAAGTAACATAATGACGAGAAAATGTTTATCTACAAGGAGATGCAATGACGGGGAACGATCGATGCGTACGAGCTTGACGATCGTCGATTTGTCGCAGACTCGATCACCAGTGAGATTAATTGATCCTTGAACTCGCGTCATCGAGCCAGATGCAAAATAAACGCGATGGTTTAGTCCACATCGCGATGAATTACGAGCGGACGAAACGGAAAAGCTGCTACGACTGTCGCCGGCTCGTTACGCATTGTTCGGCCGCGATTATACATAGCAAGGGATTTATAACGAAGTTACTGCTCGTTAATACGCTAATTACACAGTACCATTCACACGCTCGCATTGTCACGCAATTACGTACACGCAGGCACGACACGCACGCGGCATGGACAACAATGTCGACAAGGAATCGAACAATTACGAGTTTCATTATTTACGAGAAACGAAAGATCAAGAATTTCCGTTTTCGAACACGTGATATTTATCGACGAAACTTTGACGACTTTGCGCTCCACTTTCATTCATACAAGAAGAAAAGGAACTAATATGATTTTAGAAACGATCTGTCACTCTACGAAGATCATATAAACTCTCATAAGGTTTTTCTAAAAGGAGAAGCTTTCGATTTAAACGTCGTTGAGAAATTGAGTCTACGCGTAAGCTTTGGTACCATTTCAGGGAGGAAGATCTGTTTAGAAAACAGTAATGGAGTATCTTCGCAGAGAATTCAGATAGTTTCCGATTAACATGAGCGGAGGGGTACATGGCTCAGTCTCTTGGATGCACCTGAAGAAACAATGACAATGATTACTTTACTCCCGCTCGCGCGTTGAGAGTTACTCGCGCGAACGTGTGGTCTAAAGAATAGCAAACTCGAGTGCGAGGTACTAATTCTACGCAGACGTGAGACGGTTTTTATGCGGTGCGTGTTATCGCACTCAGCGATTTCCCATGACATTCGCAACGACTCAGCACTTGATTTGGAATTGAACTGATGACAAAAAAAGAAAAAGAAGAGAAAAAGACTCTAACGTAAAGAAATAGTTTTGCGAACTGATAAAAAATTAAGAATATCAATATTCATCGCTTGTCGTGATTTTATCGCACACTGACGCGTAATTGTGATTAATTCATCGCTGCAAGGTGAATGAATCTGTCGTGGAATGTCATCGGAAGTTGCGCCGGAAATCGCTTGGAGAAATGGTAATCTCGCACGGTCGCACGCGATGCGAGAACCGAAAGAGACAGGAGACTTCATCTGGTCTCCGTCTGGTTTCCCATTGTATACAATTCGGCACGTTGAACACCACGTTTGGAAGGCATTTCAGAAGGCATTGAATTCCTAGTGTGTATTGTCACGAGTTGTCGTCCATTATGCCCTGACCTACCTACGTATGACTTCGTGAAAGCGTGACTCACCTGTACAAAAAAAAAACACTCTCCTCGTTCGATTCAACTTCAATTGAACTGATTGCTTTTTAGATCGACTTACATTGTCCCTATCGTATCACCTGTGTAAAATCATTTTCACGGTATTAAAAGTATCAAAAAGAATATGGTTTATCCTAACGGAGATGTGCGAACGATGCTTCGTTGTGTTTACGATCGAACTAGCGATATTGTAAAGTCTCATCAAAATTACTGCAACATGAGGCGAAAAATTGCTTCGAGTTTTGTCATCGAAATTGATTTTGGCAGTGTTGTTGCTTTTCTTCGAGCCCCTCTGTGTTTTTCACGGTCCATTGTCGAGATAGCATGATCGAAAGAACGCCACTAACGCCGTGGATCGATAAATGTAAGTCGTCGATGATCCGGCAGTCATACAAAAGAAGTGGAATAAAGAGACGTTGAATGTATTTCAAGAAAATGATGCGCGACTGACGTCGACGAGACTACGCTACAAGACTCCTAATGCAACGCGTTAATGGTAGCCACGATTGTAGTCGGTTGATGCAAATTTATGCCGAAGGAAATTGAAGAGGGATCGCTCGTGGCCTTAAGCACGCTCGATGAATAACGAAGGACGTGCCGCGAAGAAAGTTCCGGATTCACCTGACGCGTGCTTGCGAACACAGGTCAAGGTCGTTGCGATTTCATCGATCGGACACGTCACACACGTCGTTCGTTTATTGGGAAATTTTCGTGGTCCCGATGTGTCATTTATTTGTAGAATCGACGCGTGATCGCGAATAGCAGAACGTCAGACGTTCAAAAACGAGCAAAACGAGCGACCATGTATTAATATCGATGATCGTATTTACTGTCGCGCGAAAAATTCCCTCGTAATCGACCTCGTCCGGCGCCGTTTGTTAATACCGAAATAGCGTGTCTCGTATCGGCCACACATCATCTCGTTAACTTCGCTCAGCGTATAATCGATGGACAGTGACTGGTTGCTCCTACGCGCGTTAACGACGGCCTGGTTGATTCGACGACGGATCTCTGAGCGATCGGTGACAACGAACAACGCAACTCTCGCTTCGAATCGTCGTTAGAGAGATGAAAAGACGGACGAATCCAGAGAGTGGCGCGAATTACAAATTGCAACGATAACAGGAAATTCGACGCGAGTGAAAGCTGGACCGAGAGTCGTTGGGAATGCGCTTTTCTCTCGAGAGGGGACTCGAACCAGGACGGGTGTCTCTATGAATATTTGTCGCTTCGCGTTGTTTTCTCTGTTCTCCATTGTGTTCCCTGTCGAGACAATCAACCATTCAAAGTGACAGTTCGCGCGTTCTACCGCTTTCCCCGCGTTTAGTCCGCAGGGACACGAGCGGCGAGCAAACGCGTTCTTGGCGACTGTACTTCTGCCAAGGTCGACGACCTCTTTTCTTAGTAGACGAGGATTTTTGACGCGAGTCGAGTCCTACTTGGACGGGCCTAGTTGTATACGGGCAATGTTCGTGAAACGGCACTCGTCGAGTCACAAAGTCATCCGGAACGGGGAAGTCCGGTTATTTCAAGTTCACGGCCTCGAGGTCGTCGACCCTGCAACGCGAATCGGGAACGGATAGTA